AGAGACAGCAGAAGTTATGGGAGAGAAAACAAGGAAAAGGAAATAAAGAGAATAAGATGAGATTTTCACAGGAATCTGTTGTGTACGCCTAGGCGTGCTGTTGGGAATTTTGTTGCTCTGTTTCAGTAGCTGAAGAATTTAAATATGGGTCTTCTCTGGCCCACACCTAAGTCCCCAGCAGTCTATTACTACAACATAATAAAATCCAGAGTTGAAAAGAGGTCTTTAGAAGGTAAGAGTACTGTGACATCGATTCGTACCAATGTTCTGAGCATTTAAGAAGAGTGTGCACATTAAGGGAACAGAGAAGGAAAAGGATGACTAAGCTGTGCTCAAGGAGATGAATCTAGAACAGTGATTCTGCTGCAGAGGAGAAATGAAGCTGGAAGTTGAATATGCAAATGATCAAGCAATAGAAATAAAGGTCTCACAAGAAGCCCCAGATACAGGAGGACCAGAGTGATGTTAGCTTGGGGACACCTGGGACATTGGGATCTATACCCAGCTGTTCTGAGGACTGAGAAAGAGCACAGCAAACCCCCTATCATTTACACGGGATGCTCAACTGCATGCGCACAGTGACACTCCAGCACCTTCATACCTTTCAGCCTTATTTCCAACCTCCTCAGATGCCCACCCACACGCATGTCACATGCACGGCGGTGCTCACAGATCATTCCACAAGTGCCATCAAGGACTCAGGCTGTATCTTCTGCTCTGTATGATACCTAATGCTCTAAATTAGCAATTAATATTAAATCACTAACAGTCGTTAGATACTTAATACTTCAGGCTAGTGTTAGAATACCATATTTAATCAAATTTAATAAGTAAGTAGTAAAGAATAACGTGGAGCTGAAATGCCTCTTTAATGAAATCCATGGAAACATGACCGAGATAATCACAGTTTTCTATTCAAACCTAGAAAATCAATGTTGGTTATATTTTCCTTCTGATTCTTGCTGCCAAACAGAATTGCTTTTAAATATCTCTGAGTTAAAGGTTTATTGGTTTGTTTGTTTTTTTAACTTGGGGTTTTTTATTTCGTTTTGCTTTGTTTGTTGTTTAAAAATCACACTGATGATCGATGCTTAAAATAGAAAATTAGCACATATTTAAATACATAATAGAGGTCAAAAAACAATTAGAATTCAAATGAATTTTCTAAATATATATATATTTCCTTTCTGATTTCTATGGATTTGTTCACTCCTTAAAAACTTGTATGCTATTTTGGGATTTCACTGCAAAGCAAAGATAAGCCCTGATTTTTATCTGGTAAGGGTGTTTCCTTCTCAGAAAAACAATCCAGGCCAACCACCACAATAATAGTAAACACAATGGCCAAGGACATAGAAAAGAAAAATTTGAGATTTTACATTCAGTACATAAGGCTCTAACCCAACCTTAAGAAAAAAAAAAATTAACAATACGCACAAGTCTCTTTAGAAGTCTAGTTTTGTTAACCATTTAAGGCAACTGAAAGTTTTTATTCACTTTTCCTAATTAAAAATATTCTGCTTCTTTATTGTTACTGATGTTTTAAAAACTAATGATTTTAGGAGATGCATTTCTAATTCCTATTTCTAAAAATATTGCAAACCATGTTTCCCCCATATCAAAATTAAGCAATTACCTGGAAATGACCAGAATTGGAAATGCAATATAAATTCTGTTCTGACAAACCAACCCATTGTGTCTTAAAGATAGGATAATTGACCCAGATACTCTTAAACTGGGTGCCATGGTGATAGATGCCATAGAGATGTAGACAGATTTAAAAAGAAAAAAAAAAAAAAAGTAACCTGGAAAAGGAAATTAAGCAGTGTATGCAAGCAGAAAAAAAAAAAAACCTTTGAGAATGAGGTAGGCAAAAGGGGTTAGAAATGAAGGGGACAAGAGGCTTTGTAAGTGACAGTAGGAACTTATGTTGGGATAAATACTTAGTATAGGTAATACTTGTAACACCTATATATCTGAGTCTACCCAATAATGAGTCATTGTGACTTTTTATTGCATCAAAAGGTTTTGTTTCTTGTTTTTCTTTTCTTGATGGCCCTGGAAAAAGATCCGTCACAAACATGGAAGTGGATTTAAGGAACAGGAAGAAAACGCCCTTTCAGTGAAGAGAAAAATCTGACCCACAGCATATGCTTTCCTTACAGAGAAACACTGAACTCTTGTAAGTTTCTCTTGTATTTAAATTATGAAATTGACCCCAGTTTTCTGTTTAACGCATGAGTGCATAAAAGTGTTGTTTTGTTTTCTTCAAATCTGACAATAATTTGGGAGGATTTGAGATGATAAAAGGGAAAAAAGCAAGTGTTGGGGGCAAAAAATTAGGTACCCGGCCTCAACTTCATGAAAAACAAGGCTTACACGGTTGTTTTCCTCACACAGTACCTAAAATGAACTGAGTGCTTAGAAGTTCTCAAAAAATACTTGTTTGCGAAGAAAGAACAGCGGGAAGGAAGGAACTGTTTCCTTCTGAATTGTAGGTAGAAACTGTTCTAAAACACGTTAATGTCTTAACCCATGTTTCTTGCTGCAAAAGCTGCCCCATCCACCTCTTGTGGCTTCACTCAAATCCAGTGGCATTTATTGAGCACCTACTATGTATGAGGATTGCCCATTTGGTGTCTGTCACTTAGTATTAGTCTTTAATCTGCAGCTGAAAAGCCCCAGGGGCAGCGAGCAGATGGGACTAGTAATAGCGTATCACCCGACCCAGGAACACTTGCACTCCATCTGGCACATTATTCCTGGAACAGTCACTGGAAAAGAAATTGCACCGGGCCCAAACATTAACAAAGGCAGGGTGATGGGTTTCAGTCGCAATTGCATGTGACAAGTAGCTCTTCTGGTCTCACCGTCGGCAGCTGCACACCTCTATTACACGGAGTTATGGGCTAGCTTTCCTCTCTCTCCTCCCACATCTTCACCCTCAATTCATCCTCTTCTTAGACTAATAGTTCTGCCAACTCGGGGTCCATCAATCTTTCCACATCAGCATTCAGCTCTGTGGAAAAGAGGAGAGAATGCATGTAGTCTTCCTAAGACATGGGTCCCTCCCTCCTATCCTCACAGGCTTGGATAGCTCTGTTCAAGTCCACTCGGTCTCTTCTTCCCATCATGTAAGAAGCGTCTTGACGACGCCAAATTTCCTTTTCCACGTACTCTTACGGACCAGACATATATGTGAACTAGTTACTTGTGAACTTTCTGTGAAAACAGTAAAAATCACCTAAATAAATGGATATATTTGTTATTTCCTATAAAGATGGTAGAAATCCATTGCTGATAAATTGTATTCATGTTAGTGCCTGTAAACTAAAAGTTAAGAATTACAGCAAAATTTAGTGATTAAAGAGATCTGATTTAAAATAGAAAAATCAGGAAATGGAATGATATTCACCATCTCTAACAAATAATGTCTAAGATATTTGGCTAAAGGAAAATGACATTGATCCAGAAACGTAAATGGCTAATGCAAGCAGGGAATTATTAATAAAGGAGTGGAAACTAAGCCTCTGAATTTCCTTTGAAAGGCCAAGATTTTAATAGTCTCTGCTTGGACTTACCATGCTAAAAACATCACAACACAGAGAACAATGTGACATCCTTTCTTAGGAGCTCATTGCATTAGCATCTAAATTCTGATCTACAGGGGCGCCTTGGTGGGTCAGTCGTTAAGCGTCCGCCTTCGGCTCAGGTCATGATCTCAGGGTCCTGGGATTGAGCCCCGCATCTGGCTCCCTGCTCAGCGGGAAGCCTGCTTCTCCCTCTCCCACTCCCCATGCTTGTGTTCCCTCTCTCCTGCCTCTCTCTCTGTGTCAAATAAATAAATAAAATCTTTAATAAATAAATAAATAGATAGATAAATAAATAAATTCTGATCTACAAAATCATTGCTCTTTAACAGTTTAGCTGAATATTTCTATTCATGGGTTACCTAAGGACACCCCAGAATTATCTTCATCATGCCCCATTTGTTCCGTCTTATAGAATACTTAGAACACACACATGCAAACTTGAACAGTCTATGTTTCTGAAATCATTTGTCTTTATTTTTAAAATTGGGTACATAAGTGTTTTGAGAGTGCTATTTTTAAATTTTACTTTCATGATAAATTCTTTACATTGAGCCCCAACCTGTAATTCATAAAGAAACTTGAGAAACTTTTAAAAATGAATTACCTAACAACTGTCATGAAATTGGAGAGACAGAGCTCCCTTTGATAATGAGCACCTATAAGCTTTCTTTATATTAAGAAAAAGAGCAGAAAGAGGGAGGGGGAGGAGTTGGGAACAATAAAGAGAAATAGGTGCGTGTAGCCAAGAAACAAAATGAAATTTGAAAGAGCTGAGAGACCATGGCTTGGAAAGATTAAATTTACTCCATATAACTCCAAAGCGCAGAAAAGGGACCATCAGCACAGAGTCAAGGGGAACCGTTAGCACAAAAACTGGGTTAACAACCACTAGCATAAATTCATATTTTAATGAAATACACTGTTTTATGGAGTAATAAACACAATATCCCTGGAACAATTCAAGTAGAACCTGAAAGACTGCTTGGCTTGGACACTGAAATTGGGAACTTCTCTCTACTCGGTGGGAAAGGGACTGGGAGGCCAGCTCCATGATTCTACATTTTACCTGCACACAGTCAAATGTGTTGAACCCTTTTACAAAATTAAAACAAGTGTAGATCAGCCCTGTCCAATAAATGCATTGTAATTTACATGTCAGAGACAGACGTTTGCGTTTCGGTGCTCAGTGTCCGTATTCCTCCACTCGGTAGCATCCGCTTGCCCTCTGCTTTTGGAATGCACCCAGTCCCGCTGGTCGGCTCATCTCACCCCTACCCCTTCCGTGTGAGTCATCCTCCTGGCGGGAGAGATGGGCATGTGACTGAAATCAGACCCAGCCAAATAATCTTGGAGCTTTCATTCAAACTGCTGGGGGAGGAAAGTTCTTTCTGCTGAGCTGGCTAGGATGTAAGCCTAAAGCTGAAAAGAAGCCATCTTACCACCGACAAGGGACAGAGGCTACCTGGAAAAGACGGAGGGTGAAGGGCTGACACGTGATAACCCTGGCACCGTCAGTTCAGCAAGCTGGGGCGTCCTCACAGAGGTAAGAGTTCGTGTTCAGTTGCTCTATTTGCAACCAAAAAGTCCTGGCTAATGTCAAAAAAGGAAATCACGAGAAAGGGGGCTTGAAGGTCTAGATGCTGGCTGATGATCTAATTCGCTGCAAATTTCAACCTTTAAAATCTGAAATATTTAGGTTATCCCCCTAGGACCCTTTGAACTTTCTCATCTTTTTTTTTTTTGTCATGACTATACACCCTTTTCTACCAGTTTTCTGCCTTGGTTTCCCCCAGTCCCTCCAGAAGTTCTCTCTTGGTTTCTTCCAATCCTCCTAGAGAGAGGAGACACGGAGTCACCTAGAGGTGCCATGAGCAGTCCTGTTCATGAAAAGCAACCAAGTCCTCCCCCCGCCCCCCCGCATTGCATTCCTGCCCATCAGCTGGAAATCACGTCTCTGAGGGAACAGAGACCGTTTCAAAAAATAGGACTCCAGAAATACCTTATCAAGCTGTTCCGTTGTACGATTATGAAACCACTAGCCAGACCAAAAAAGAATACATCTCTCTGCTCCCCAAATCAGGATTTTTCTCAATGAACCTTAGGCCTATTCACCTGTGCATCCCGAATCTCATCATTCCACACTTAAATCTTACGCATTTTGCAGCACTTTTAAGTCTTTATTTACATTTCCTTAACAAACTAAGAAATAGTTCCTGTTACAAATTTTAATACAACCTGGCATGGGCCAGTGCAAGAACAGAAATCTCACAGAGTCACCATAATTGTATCTAACCCACAGAACAAAATAAGATACAAAGAAATAAAAATGTACACACCAGTATTCATAGCTGACGGTGATCTAATTTTATCTAACAGTATTAATCACAATATCATTTTTTACCAAAGACGAAGACAAGTTCTCCAAAAGAATAAATCTTCTGCAATTTCCCCCCTTAAAATGGAAGTCATGTAAATATCCGCTACCACGTACTTGCGGCAGCTTAGCCAAAATGCAGGCACTCGGAATAGAAATGAAGCATCGGATTTGTGGTGCACAGTGCCACCTCCTCACAAAGCCTCACACTTTGGGACAGGAAGGAAGAATAATACTGTAGCCACTGGTAGCTGCAGGGGGACTTTCGGGAGGCAAAATGGCATTACTGGAGTTGGAATTTGGCCAGGACACTGGGGCTAAATACCCGGACTTTTATGAAAAGTGCCCTGGGATTGTTAATGCCCTCGAGTTGTCAGGACCTCAGTTTTGTGTCTTCTATGAAAAGAAAAGCTGATTAGATCATTTAAGTAAATCTCTCGGTGGGCTTCTTTAGCTTCTGATTATCTAGATATGCTTTAATCACCGTCAGATTGCCCTGGTTAAAATTAATGACAGATTAATGGGAGACACTCCACGATATCAAAGCACCAAAATATATACCTCCATAATATATCGCATATATATTTTTCATTTATTCCCCAGGGGATTAATTTAGAGCCCCAGCAATTCCTACTTGGACTAAATCATGCTGTTTTAAAGAGTACATAATATCCCAATTATCCTGTTGCCCTTATCTTTATGAGTCTCCAAAGGAGGGATAACCTAAGTAGGGTGATTAGATTTAATACCACATCCCTGAAACCCAGGTCCTGTTTCAACAGACACTCTTTTTTTTTTTTTAAACAATTACTCTGAACATTAAATCTTTGGTGTTATTTACTAAAACACTTAGCATAATACTTCAAACACAATTATTCACCTCCTTTGCCATAACGGAAATCTAGACTATTCGGATTTCTTAAGGGAACAAAAAAAACTGAGAATCTTCATTTGTGGTGGTAATAAAATTCATACATATTTTAATGTATTCTTGGCAGGCATGTCCAAGAAGGAAAATATTTGTATTATGTGAACAAATGCTCTTTAAAAACAGGGTTGGGGGGTGACCAAAAAATATTAGCAGACAAGTTCTTTCTAGCACCTACAAAACCCAAGAATGAGATAAATTCATTCATTTCTTTCCCTTGCTTCCCTTTTTGTTTTACAAACACCCTCCTCCGTCCTTCAGCAAGTTTTTTCCCCTTCTCATGCTCCACAGAAGGATTTTTAAAGCTTTCTCTTGGTCCACAGGGCAGGTTTGCCAAGTCTCAGCTCCTACATCTGTAAAATGGGGCAGCTGGTTCTGAACCCAGCCTATGCATTAAAATAGCCTAGGACAATGCTTCATCCCTTAACCTCGCTTCCAGAGACCCTCTCTAAAAAGCATCCTATCCTTTTAAAAAGTTCTCCAGGTGATCCCAATGTGCAACCAGGGCTGAAAATGCCTGACCCAGGTGTCTCCAGGATTCTTCCCATCCTAAAACTTTACTTGTCCTTCTGTTCACTGAATTACCATTTAGCTGATGTGTCAGGCAAACCAGATCGATTGGTTTCCTACAGGGGTCCTGACAATTCTCTGACAATTCTAGAGGCCCGAAGTTTGAAATCAAGATTCCAGCAGGGCTGGTTCTTTCAGGAGGTTCTGAGAGAGGATTGGTTCCATGCCCCCCGCCCCCGAATCTTAGTCTCGGTGTGTCCTTTCTTCTTCTTTCTCTTATAAGGACACTTATCATTGGATTGAGGGCCTACCCAACCTAGGATTCTCTTACCCAGAGAACTGTACTTTAATTACATCTGCCAGGACCATTATTACAAAGAGGGTCACACCCTGAGGTTCTCGGTAGACATATCTTTTGGGGGTCACTATTCTACCCTCTATGCTAGAGGTGCCACTTTTATCAGAAGCCAATGACAAATCCTCTGAAACAGGTGCAGGACAGGGGAAAGGCAGACCGTAGGGCTTTGGCTGCCATAACAGGGAAGACAAGGGACGGAAGGGCATGCCAAGGTGGTTCCAGGCCAGCCCCCACAGGCATCTCGGGACTTGGCTGTCAGGTCAACTCTACTCTAGTCACAACGAAAATGAGTCAAGAGAGAAGCAACTACTGCTCCACGACACAGACTCCACCAGGGCCGACTTCGTGCTGGGACAGAGGCTGGGACGAAGAGGCACATGCTGTGTGACCTCCACGAAGAGGGGCCAGAGTTTGGAAAGGCCCATTATGACCTCCAAAGAAGTTATGCATTCCCTAACCCTGGACAAAGGCCTTCATTCATTATATTCAATAATTTTACTACTTTCTTTCCCCTATTATCCCCCTACCTGAAGTCAAACAAATCCTTGTACCTAATGGATTTCCATGAATATTGTTATACATAGCAAGGAGGAAAAGAGATGAGAATGCTATAAAAGGCCCACTACAATGACAATTTTGTTTTTATGCCAATCCATGTTATTCGCTTCTTTCAAAACTATGCTCAAAATCCTTGCCTTTTCATGGTTTCTCCCCACACCCAGGCCTAAGGACCATATGATCCACATCCTTTAGCACAAACATTTATGATTTTTTTCCTTCCTTTTTTTTTTTTGTTTAAATTCAATTAGCCAACATTTGTTATTTGAACCAGGTCTGCTAGTACTTATAAATATGCCTGCTCCATGCATCTGTACATCTTTTTAGATGTAGGCCCAATGAGGCTGATGGCTCATTGCAGGCAGAAACCCTGCCATTGGTTTCTATGGGATTCCTCCCAGACACTGATACCGTCCTCTGCACAGAGAATGTTGTTAATTGAGAATCTCTCTTATTAGTGCCTCCCTAGTAAAATGTTGCTTCTCATTTACCCATTTAATTTCTTTAACGAATATAACCCTCCCCCAAAAAGAAGGAAATAGGATGAAAGAAATGTTCCTCTGCTCTGAAATAAGAGTGGCATACCCACTGCCCACTGTCGAAATAGAGTGATGGCATTTTGAATGACAAATCCACAAAGCGACCTGGCAACAAATACTCATATAAATGCCAAGGAAAAACCACCTCTTAAACACCCCACCAGTTTCTTCATCTCTTCAACGTGGCTGGAGACTGATGGGTTGTGTCACTAGCTGATCTAACAGGAGAGCTGGAACGGAGAGCTTGTTTTTCTTCTTTGGTCCCCTGACACAGAAAGACCCAAGAACAGCTCTACCATTACTTGGTTACCTGGGTCTCCCACAGTTAACATTTGCAATCCGTGATGTCACACCCAATGGCAGTGATGTCACATAACCAAGCTGTCACACTCAGAAGAGCTGGTAGAAGTTGCTTTACTGTGGCGAACCCAATCCTACTAGAAACACGATGTCTTTGCCCAAGAGTGAAAGCTTCTCTGCAGCAAGGACTGCCTGGCCATAGGGTGCCCTTCATTTTCATCAAATCTTAGCTTCAGTAGCTTTTAAGTCACATCACAGGATGGTAGATCTTCCCAGCCTAGGGCATCATCCACCTAAATAATTAGTTCCCTTAAATATAGCTACCCTTAGGAAATATTTGTAAATCATTTATCGGACAAGGGATTAATATCCAGAATATACAAAGAATTTCTACAACTCAACAACAAAATAACAAACAACCCAATTTAAAAATAAGCGAAGGACTGAACGGGCAGGTGTCCAAAAAAACAAAAAAGTCTACAAATGGCCAAAAGGCGCATGAAAAGGGGCTCAGCATCACCAGTTATTAGAAAAATGCAAGCCAAAACCACAAGATGACACTTCTGCCATATTAGGGTAGCTATTATAAAAAATAATAATACCAAGTATTGGCAAGGATGTAGAGAAACTGGAGCCCTTGTGTAGTGCCAGTGGGAATGCAAAGTGAGGCAGCCACTTGTAAAAGAGTATAGAGCTTCTCAAAGAAGGAAACATAGAATCACCATATGACCTAGCATTGCCACTTCAGGGGATATACCTAAAAGAACTGAAAGCAGGGACTCCAACAGATATTTGCACATTCATGTTCCCAACAGCATTATTCACAAGAGCCAAAAGGTGGAAAGACCCCAAGTGTCTATCAATGGATGAATGCACAAACAAAATGTGGTGTCCACATCCAATGGAATAGTCCTGATCCTAAAAAGAAGGGAATTCTGACACACGCTACAACATAGACGAATCTTGATGTCACTGTGGTAAGTGAATTGAGCCAGTCAGATAAGGACAAATATTGTATGATTCCCTGTACATGAGGTACCTAAAGTGGTCAAATTCATAGAAACAGACAGCAGGATGGTGATTGCCGGTGGCTAGGAGGAAGGGGGAATGGGGAGTTAGTATTTAATAGGAAGAGAATTTCACTTTAGAAGGTGAAAAAGTTCTAGAGATGGATGGATGGTGGTGATAGTTGTACAAAAATGGGAGCTTAATGCCACAGAACTTCTAAAGATGGTCAAAATGGTAACTTTTATGTTATGTACATTTTACCACCAAAAAATGACATATTAAAATCCTAGCCACCCCAGTTCAAAAATGCTCTTCATTATAATACTAATTTTATAATTAAGTTGTTAGTCTATCTTGCTTCTGGTTCTGAACAGTACTAAAAAATCATGCATCTACCTTTTTTTTAAAAAGTGGGAAGGGGAGAAATAAAGTTTTTTCCTTCACTCATTCCCCTCATGTTTGCTGCAGAGTAAGGTAAGCTTTAAATTGCTTTTGACAGTAAAAATAAAACCACTGCCATTTTCATGGTTAGAATTCAGCTGATGATCAGTTGCTTCCCTTTGACCTTCAGACCTTTCCTCTTTTTCTGTGCCACACTTCCATCTCATTCATAAGTCTCCTAGCACTGGTCCCTCCCATCCACAAACCCCGAAAGTAGGAGGAACTCTCTCTCCTCTGGGGTTAATGTCTCTTAGGCACAATACGACTGATAGACCACTTAGCAGCCCAAGCTATGGGCTTCCCAACACCATTAATGACCACAAGAAAGTGCTTTAGCTCTTGGAAAAAGCAATATTATAAACAGCTAAAATGTCAAGTAAAATGGATACTGCAGAGTCAGGGTCATAAAAAAGACACTGAGGGACTGGCTCTAGAACTCGGGCTCTCGACACTGGCACTATTCTGAGAACCAGGTTTTGTAGGGAGTAGAGGGGAAGGTGGATGGAGGGAATGCGTTCTACGGGAAAGAAAAAAGTTAGGGGAAAGCAACAATCAAAGCTAGAAGCTTATCTCACATTTCAGATCTAAAATTAGATCTAAAAATGAACACCTCAGCATAAACAGAAATACACTCTTGTCTTCATGATAGAAGAATGGACAAGAATGAAGTAGGTTTCTGTGCATCTTTAGAATCTTAACATTTTGTGTTACTTACAAAGTATTTATTTGCATGTAAAATGTATTGTTTTTAAAACGATCTTCCAAATTACACTTCTGAACACTTTCCCAATAGGAAAAACCAATCCTTTTAAATTAAAAAATGAAAAGATGATGGACTGTAATAATAGAAATATTTTCCTTTCCCAAATATAGACATTTGTTTTATCTGTAGTATTTTAAATTGCTTCTAGTATTTATCATCCTGGACCTTCATCCCTGGTCAGTACACCTTGAAATACTTCTCAGATCCCAACACACACATCCCCATACTTCTGTTTTCACAAATGGCCTGTACATACCTACTCTGAGGTATCACTTCCATGACGTGCTCAGTTGGGCAAGCCGTCAGTGGTTTTGATGGCTGAATAAAGAAGAGTCATCTATCCAACCTTTGCAACATGCCAGATAAAGGTTCATTTCCCAGAACATCCTTGCTATATCCATCAAAGGAAAATAGACTTGATCATATTTCTAGAGAGAGAAAAAGACCCAGACACTTTGGGCAAAGAAAGCCCTGGAAGAAGTTGCCGTCAGTGTTTCCGCTTGCTGATTAGCCTGTTGCCACTTGGTGGCACTGTTGATTCCAGTTTGCTCCTGGATCCCGGGGTGGGTAAATCAATTGATGCAACCATCAGGAGCATGTGTGGTTCTGGCTCCAAGAGGAACTTCATTAAGCCCTGACAGCCTTAATAGAAACATCAGAATGTCCATAGCCTGATACCCCCAAACCTAAATGGTAAAGTCATAGTACATGCCGTCCACTTAGAACCTTCCTTTGGATATTTCTCCAAATACAGAAATCCAACCTCTTCTTCAAGGTGCCTATCTCAGCCTGCCTCTGGGACCCCTGCCCTATTAATGCCAACCAGTCTCCCATGGGGCGCGGCTGTCCGGGAACTCCTGTGTGCCACCCTAGGCCAACGAGGCAGAGACTGGGGAAGAAAATGAATTGGTGACTTGGAAGCAATACCACCATCTTGAGATTCTTAAAAACACAAGATAAAATGCAGGGTCAACAACCCCTTGATAGACTTTCCTTTACATCATTTATCTGGCGAGAGCTTTAGTTTAAACCTTTCAACACATTTGCGTGAGCTTCCTTAAGAAACTTGCACAAGGGCAGGCACACAAGAATTCCAGTGGAGGCCTGGAACCTCAGGCTCTTCTCCAAGCCCCAACACCACCCTGCCTTGACCTGACGGGGACTATCGGAAGGCTCCCAGTGTCAGTACACACAAAGGCCCAACAAGCACTAACGCAAGTCTAAGGAGCGAAGTGGGGCAGCCTGCCTCTCAAAGTCTATGGCTCTTGTTGTCTTCCCTCACCTGCTGCCCATCCACTGCACGAACACATACACACACATTTTTGGGCTGCACATCCCTTCCTCTGTCCAACTTTGTTTTCTTCCCTTAAGATTTCCAAGGTTGTTAATTTTTAAAAGATTTCAGTTACACAAACATTTGGAGGAAACAATATACACTGTACATACGTGATCATTGTTCTGTTCTGTACATCCCTCAGGGTGGCTCTGTCTCTGTTCTACGTTGATCTTTCTCTTTCTGTATAATGAGGGACATGGCAGAAGCCTTGAACAATGACAATATAGAACCCCCCGGAGGGGGCAGAATAGGAACATTTTACATCAATAATCGTTATGTATTGCTTTGAAAAACACTTATTACACATTCTTTAGTGGTGAGAATAGCTCTCTATGGTGTCTCAGCTAGCTCAGATCATAAATCATCATCAGTGAAGTATAAAACAGATATTTTGAGATATTTCTGGTGGCTGTGTTCTTAATATCAGCATTTAGTTTATGATACATATAAAATATAACTGACTATAATGTAATGATGTGGATCTTTTAACAAACACCACGACTCACATATACAATAAAAGAATGTCAGCACCTTCTAAATAGACACTTTGGCATGTTAGATACATATTCTTGAGACTGCTGGGGAAACTCTGTGAAAACTCCTCTTTTGATATTGCCTCCAATGCCTAAGACATAATACTTTTGATTTTTTCAATTGTGGTAAATATTCATCCTTTGAGGGTGGTTTTCATTTTGGGAAACAGCTCAGTCATTTGGAACTAAATCTGGCATATAAGCCGGAGAAAATGGTTTGAATCAAAAATAAAATTCATTCATTGAATTATGCAACAGATATTGCCCTGGACACTCCACCATATGGAGTTAGCCTCAGCTCTTAAGGGGCTCACAGTCTAGAAGGAAGAAAAGCATGTAACCAAGTAATTGTAGTAAAAATGATACAATCTTTCCAGATATCTAAGCAGCTCTCCTTGCTCTCATGTTGGACCACGTAAGGCTGAGTTTCTGGTTTGGCTCATAAGGCAGTTATCAAAGCAGTTCCAGAAGGAGCTGTTCCAAAGCTGAGCGAGCAGCAGCAACCCCAGTGGCATGAGTATGTAACCTCCCAACAGTGCTACTCCCACAGAGGAGGCTTGTCCAGATAGTTACATCCTGGTACATGTTACTTTTACAATTTGATCTAGGTATTACTTTAGAGTTTACCAATCCCAATGAAACCGCAGTCATGGGTTATGATACCAGATGATAAGAAATCTTCCCCTTATATTTCCTATGCTGGCCTAAAACTGATGCAGCCACCATTAAAGGAGGTAAAGCACTATAGGGCTTGGCACGGGAGCTTCCTGGGGGGTGGGGAGGGGGCGCGGGGGAGGAAGCCAGCAGCAGTGGCAGCCAACTTTAACATACTGGGATGGCAGGGGGTGCTTGTTGGTCAAATAAATAAATAAATACAGTGAAGATGACAGGACCCAGGTTTCTCACTGTCAGAAAAGGGAGTTACAAGTAGGGAAAAGGAAAAAAAAAAAATTAGAATGGAAGGTATTGGTATGAACTCATAGATGTAGAAATTAATGATATTTAACACGCATACGAACACATATATTTCCTAGCTCTGACAACTGAGAGGTGCCCAGAAGCAGCAACACCCCAATAGCAATAAGCATGCATGATGCCCTAATGCTCCACTTCTAACCCCCAGTCTTCACTAAAAGGAACCAGGGATCCTTGGAGACATGGTTGATTCCAGGAATTAACAGGGAAAATATCGGATGAGCCTGGAACATCTTAATGTGCCCAAAAGTGAGGAGGTGCCCGAATGACAGAATCATGTCAAAAGGACACAGAAACTTGCTGATAGGAGTTCACACTAGCCAGGCATGGGACAATTGAAGGATCAAAATAAACAACGAAAGTGATGGATTATAACCCACTGAGTGAAATAAGAAATCATGAGTCCATACTGATAAAAAATAAATAAAGGAAAAAATTAAAAGTTTAACGAGGACAAAAATGTAGATCTAGTCTCAAAGGACTCTCAACAAAATTTGTATTAATTACGAAGAGAAACAAAGTGATTTTATAATGGAGACACCTGACAGACACGATCTTAATCAAGTGATCAAAGTGAACATCATTAGTAATGGGACAAAATATGTGTCACCTGGTAGGGTGCAATGAAAAGAATACAGAACCGTGTCCATGAAATCCGTGCCAACAATGCCTAACCTGAATATAATCACGGAGGAACCTCAGCCAAACTCAAATTGAGGAACATTAACTGACCTTCAAAAGTGTCATGAAAGACCAAGGGACTAAGGACTTGTTCCCGGTGGAAGGAAGCTGAAGAAACATGACAAGTAAATGCAACCCAGGGTATTAGCCTAGATGCTTCTGTTACAGAGGATGTTATTGGAACAACTGGCAAAACTTGAGTGGGGCCTGGGGGTTAGATGACAGTGATAAATCAATATC